TGACTGACAGCTCCCAATCGCAATGTGGTGCGTTCATCGCCATGGTCCGGCCGTCTTGGAGGCCTGGAGGGTCGCAGTGATCAGTTGGACGTCATCTGAACGTACACCAGAGCATAGGATCGATGTACCGCCTCAGTTCAACCGTGACATAAGTCCCGGTTCAAGCGCGACGAGAGGTTGAGCGAGAGTCACGTGACATAAGTCCCGGTTCACATTATAACCTCCCCTTGATGAGCGAGATTGACGTTAATCCAGTCTCAGCCTCACACCTCATGACAGATGTAGCGGTCGATCGTCCATTTATTTATGGAATTGGGTGCTATCTCTATTTCTGAAGGACCTCCACTCCGTATTGTACAAGGAAGGGTCTCTGTACAGTACAGTCGGGACAACATACAGACACCCCTTGTTGTCCAGGTAACAGCTCGTGTGGTCGACATTTGGTCTTTCATGGCGACAACGGCCATGCTCACCCACCGTGGCCAGCAATGAATCCAGACCTTTCCCCCACTAATGTCTGGGACACGATAAAGAGACATGTGCGTCAACGTCATTGGCCGCCGTCACTTTACTGTACTTCCGGCCAGGCAATGCAGGAGGAGCAGGGGGCAGACCTTTAAATCGTCATTGGGAGATTCACACACACATTATGCCTGTCAATGAATGTCGGCAAACTGTGGAGGGATGTAGTACGTACTACTGATCCACGTCAGCTCTCATAGTTCCGCTTTACCCATATCGTCATTGCTTACCATCCCTGTAGCCATATAACCAGCCGCACCGGGAGCCATGTCTTACCATAGAAATAATGTCACTATGAAGAACATACTTAAATCATACATGTATCTTTCAAGTAAAGGTAAGAGCTGACTATTTTTGATAGCTAAAACCTGTTGTGTTCATTCTGGTTCATTCCATGGCACCTTTTTCTATGCAGTGGATCGTGGAGATGTCAGGCACAGTGGGACTACATTCATCCTTTTACTGACGCTTCGAGGGTGCGAGGAGATTATATTTGCACTTTGGTTATTGTCAACGGGAATGAATTTTCTTTGTCGTGTTTGGCATGACCAAAGCTCAGAATCAACTACGTCAGTTCCACCAGCACAACTACATGCGCGAGTTGAAAGATACTGACTATGGAAGCAGATGACCATCTTAGCGCTAGCTGACTTAACTGTACAGGGCAATATGGCGGTTCTCGGTGTGTACCAGCCAGATGCTACATCAGTTATACTGTGACTCGATCGGCTCTGCTGAGCTCGTCCATGCTTCTACCCACTGGGATTTGAATTTGGACAAGGCCACTGTATCCAGTGTTATGATAATACTGGTTTGCATGTTGTGTGGAGCCTCACTCAGTAGTACACATCACGGACATCGATTCATCTACGCAGTTGGAACAGGTTGCTCAATACCAGTTCGGGTCTGCACGAGGACGTGATTGGTCAAGACGTATGTGCTTTGCGTGGTCCGGATTACGTTCCTGTAGATTACTGCACACTTACCGCCTGATGGAACGATATATGTGGCGTAGAACAACAAAATGTCATCACAATAGTATATTTTTTCACACAGTACAGAGCGACACAGAAAACATACTTCATTACTTTAGACAGAAGTACATTATATACAAAAGAAAAAACAAACACACACTTTAATATATATAGTGTAACTAACACAAAGGGATAACCACTTGGCAAAGTATACTCAACGGCAAATGTTAGTGTGATCAACACATGAGAAAATGTTTATAACGGATTTTAATATTCTTTATAATACAATCAATCCATAACCCAAACAGGGCCCTGTCGGTAGTTTTTGTTTTGCATGCGTTTTTGTGCTTTCAAGAAGTCCGTGGTAAAAGGGCATAAAAAGTGCCCTTTAAATGAAACGTGCCCTTTAAATAGTGTGGCTCTAAACCTCGAATCCTTGTCAACCAAATCATTGTTCAGACACCGACAGTTCCGAAAAACACACATTTGGAAGAATCTGCCAGCATTTCTCTATGTCATGGCTAACTGAAAATGAAAGATGGCGAGCCATCTTGAAACCGGAACACCCCAGCGCAACGATACACAGCAGTTTAACGTGCTCAGGAGCACCATGCATATGCCGGTTGTGGAGACGTTATCAACTAAACGCCGTCGTTGAAACCGGCCGTGCACCTGTAACCACTCCACGCAACGATCGTTGGATTCGAACGACCCTTCTGCGCTAAAGATTACAACCAAGCACACTGACAGCCCGAACAGTTCCTGGTGTCAACAGGATATCGCCAAGGACCATTCGCCGGCGTCTGGCTGCACACGTAGTATGGTTCATCCGTAAGCCTACAAGAGTTGCCTCAAATAATGAGAACCTTACTACATTATGTAACAGCTATTTCATAATTCTATCATCAGCATTATGAAACAAAGATTTTCTCAATAATTTCTGGAAAAAACTGTATATTATATATATTTCTCAGCTGTGGAATGGGTACAAAATATCATAGTGAAATGGCTTTACGTTGACCAATTACTGAAGGCCATGGACATTCCTGATTGTCAGTAACACTGTAGTCGGGAAAAGAAGAAAATCTGGTATCCACATTACAGGTAACACAGACGCATATGGTAACACCCGTAACACAGACGTATATGGTAACACCCGTAACACAGACGCATATGGTAACACCCGTAACACAGACGCACATGGTAACACCCGTAACACAGACATATATGGTAACATCCGTAACACAGACGTATATGGTTACACCCGTAACACAGACGTATATGGTAACACCCGTAACACAGACGCATATGGTAACACCTGTAACACAGGCATATATGGTAACACCCGTAACACATACATATATGGTAACACCCGTAACACAGACATATATGGTAACACCCGTAACACAGACATATATGGTAACACCCGCAACACAGGCAAATATGGTAACACCCGTAACACAGACATATATGGTAACACCCTTACACAGACATATATGGTAACACCCGTAACACAGGCATATATATGGTAACACCCTTACACAGACATATATGGTAACACCCGTAACACAGGCATATATATGGTAACACCCGTAACACAGATATATATGGTAACACCTGTAACACAGGCATATATATGGTAACACCTGTAACACAGGCATATATATGGTAACACCTGTAATATGGTAACACCTGTAACACAGGCATATATATGGTAACACCCGTAACACAGGCATATATATGGTAACACCCGTAACACAGACATATATATGGTAACACCCGTAACACAGGCATATATGGTAACACCCGTAACACAGGTATATATATGGGAACACCCGTAACACAGGCATATATATGGTAACACCTGTAACACAGGCATATATATGGTAACACCCGTAACACAGGCATATATATGGTAACACCCGTAACACAGGCATATATATGGTAACACCTGTAACACAAACATATATATGGTAACACCTGTAACACAGGCATATGTGGTAACACCTGTAACACAGACATATATGGTAACACCCATTGCAGACATATATTGTAACACCCGTAACACAGACATATATGGTAACACCCGTAACACAGGCATATATGGTAACACCCGTAACACAGATATATCTGGTAACACCTGTAACACAGACATATATGGTAACACCTGTAACACAGGCATATATGGTAACACCTGTAACACAGACATATATGGTAACACCCATTGCAGACATATATTGTAACACCCGTAACACAGACATATATGGTAACACCCGTAACACAGGCATATATGGTAACACCCGTAACACAGATATATATGGTAACACCTGTAACACAGACATATATGGTAACACCCGTAACACAGGCATATATGGTAACACCCGTAACACAGATATATATCGTAACACCCGTTACAGACATATATGATAACACCCGTAACACAGCCATATATGGCCATGAGTGAGCCCATCTCCGTTTTTTTTCTACTAATTTCTCACGATGATCTATGTCTCATTTTTGGTAGATTCCCGATGCCAGGGATGCCTTGCGCACCTCGGACAGAGAGTTGTGTCAGTTTTGAGTCCAGGCAAGTGTGCAGGAACCTAACTTCCTCTCTTTTAATCAAAAGCATCAACATCTTGTGTGGATATCAGGATCCCACGACATAGTCACAAGTGCTCAGGCTCGTGGAAGTCAAATATATAGTTTATTGTGTTACAGTTCAAGTATAAGTAAATGTTTGTATCTTTTGATAAGCAATGCCTGTGTTCCCTTCAACTATTTCAAATTACCTTTGATTTAATTACTATGTAAAACAATAGCATGCGACGTAATTGTACTGTATAGCAAATCTGTGAGCAGTCATACAATTTGGTGTATGTTCCGTTACCCATTTATTATCATAACATTTCGCTATTGTTGAAATGTATTTACGATATATATCTTACAGGCACCAGTCAACACATTGAAATATAGCTGATATTTATTTTCAAGCCAGCATTATTCCACCGGCAAGGCGGCGATCTGTAGATGATCAAATCAGCCTTTAATGAACCACTGACGTGCAGGATCCCAGGTAACGCGGTTTGATGACTGTTGGTCTCGTCAACAAACACTACTCGACATCACTCACAATGTGAGGTTAATGTCTCTGCTAACGGGCACGTCGAACGAAACGACGACGTCTCCCGGCGATGCAAGCACTGACTCACGTACATATATCCTCCAGACAGAAGTCACAGTTTGTGATATTGTACAACAGGAGAAAAGAATGACCATTTGAAATATTTTCCCACTTCAGCCGATGTTGCGTAAGACATAACACTTGCTATTACTCACGAGATCTGTTCCTGGTTAAGTATTTACGTATGACACTGAAATTCATTGTTGTCATACAAATACTAGAATCTCGAAAGAATAACTATTTGGTTGGTCCTAATTACACGCTTATTGTATTGCAGGTTCCATGTTAAACAGCTCGCCAGAGCGATGTTATCAAAGTCTCGTGACGAGCGGGTAGAATGCTTTCCCAACAACCACTCGTATTAGGGTGCGGCCAGTCAGTTTCAACTCGCGCTCACCCATTAACCTGTGTTGAGTGCTCGGGTCCCCAAGGCTGTTGTGACGTGTGACTGTGACACAGACGACGTATAGGCGGACATGACAACATGGTGTGCTGCACGCCCCGTGTCCTGGCCCTCGCGGTGTTCTGGTGGTGTACCCTCCACACTACAGGTGAGAGACGCGGTAGAGGAACATAGTGTCACTATTAAGCAGCTAGATAATCACTGACTACTTGAGGCCGACCGGGTGTACGGGTGGCCGACCGATTACACGGGTGGCGGTGAAACAGGCGGTAACAGTTGCGACATATAGCGACTCTCGGTGTTCAGGGTGGCGGAAGATAAGAGAGGCAGTCAGTAATGCAGTTTAATCTAGGTCATTCAGTAGTTATTAAACTGTAGATGAACATTTCCGAAAGGCTGTAAGCTGATAAGCCATGTTGTCATGCATGATTGATGTGTTCAGTAAAGGGTAAGGCCAGAGTTTACCTACACAACCAAGGCACGAGGTATACCGTGTACAACACGAGTGAGTGGCGAGACCAGCGTGATATACACACAACCGGGGTATGTACAGCCTGTCCAGGTGGATGTAACCGAAGAAGACAAAGTAATATATAGTTCATGATGATACACCGTTAGATCCGTGTGTTACACAGTTGGACCCGCGTGTTATACAGTTAGATCCGTGTGCTAGACAGTGGGACCATGGTCTTATACAATAAGACCGGGTTGTTAGTTGGACCAGCGTGTTGTACACTTTCGACCAGGCTGTTCTACACTTTGACTGCGATGTTAGACAGTTGGACCAGTTTGTTATACAATTAGACCGGGATTATATTAAGCGAGATCAGTAAAGGTGTCCGCCCGGTACGTAGACAAACCAAATTTCATATGTTGCACCATGTAGACAGGTGTCCGCCCCGGACGTAGACAAACCAAATTTCATATGTCGCACCATGTAGACAGGTGTCTGCCCCGGACGTAGACAAACCAAATTTCATATGTCGCACCATTTAGACAAGAGGTCCGCCCCGGACGTAGACAAACCGAATTTCATTTGTCGCACCATGTAGACAGCTGTCCGCCCTGGACGTAGACAAACCAAATTTCATATGTCGCACCATGTAGACAGGTGTCCGCTCGTTACGTAGACAAACCGAATTTCATATGTCGCACCATGTAGAAAGGAGTCCGCCCGGTACGTAGACAAACCAAATTTCATATGTCGCACCATGTAGACAGGTGTCCGCCCCGGACGTAGACAAACCAAATTTCATATGTCGCACCGATGTAGACAGGAGTCCGCCCCGGACGTAGACAAACCAAATTTCATATGTCGCACCATGTAGACAGGTGTCCGCCCCGGACGTAGACAAACCAAATTTCATATGTCGCACCATGTAGACAGGAGTCCGCCCCGGACGTAGACAAACCAAATTTCATATGTCGCACCATGTAGACAGGTGTCCGCCCCGGACGTAGACAAACCAAATTTCATATGTCGCACCATTTGCGGACGCACCATGTAGACAGGAGTCCGCCCCGGACGTAGACAAACCAAATTTCATATGTCGCACCATGTAAACAGGTGTCCGCCCCGGACGTAGACAAACCAAATTTCATATGTCGCACCATGTAGACAGGAGTCCGCCTCGGACGTAGACAAACCGAATTTCATATGTCGCACCATGTAGACAGGAGTCCGCCTCGGACGTAGACAAACCGAATTTTATATGTCGCACAATGTAGACAGGAGTCCGCCTCGGACGTAGACAAACCGAATTTCATATGTCGCACCATGTAGACAGGAGTCCGCCTCGGACGTAGACAAACCGAATTTCATATGTCGCACCATGTAGACAGGAGTCCGTCCCGGACGTAGATAAACCAAATTTTATATGTCGCACCATGTAGACAGGTGTCCGCTCGTTACGTAGGCAAACCGAATTTCATATGTCGCACGATGTAGACAGGTGTCCGCCCCGGACGTACACAAACCAAATTTCATATGTTGCACCATGTAGACAGGTGTCCGCCCCGGACGTAGACAAACCAAATTTCATATGTCGCACCATGTAGACAGGTTGTTTTGATCCAAGGTTTTATTCAAATTCAAATTTGGCAGGGGAACGTGATCTTTTTCTTGAAATTCCTCCATGAAACAAGCGAGAATATTTGTTAATTTACTTCATTATAGTGATATCGTTTCACCATATTTCAAAAATATTGTTCCGCTGTTGAGAATTTCTTCGGTACTTATATAGTTAGACCAGTGAGCTATACAGTTAGATCAGTAAGTTATACATTTAGACCAGTGAGTTATACATTTAGATCAGTGAGTTATACAGTTAGACCAGTAAGTAATAGTGTTAGACCAGTGAGTTAAACAGTTAGACCAGTGAGTTATAGTGTTAGACCAGTGAGTTATAGTGTTAGACCAGTGAGTTATACAGTTAGACCAGTAAGTAATACTGTTAGACCAGTGAGTTAAACAGTTAGACCAGCGAGTTATACAGTTAGACCAGTGAGTTATACAGTTAGACCAGTGAGTTATACAGTTAGACCAGTAAGTTATAGTGTTAGACCAGTGAGTTATACAGTTAGACCAGTAAGTTATGGTGTTAGACCAGTGAGTTATACAGTTAGACCAGTAAGTTATGGTGTTAGACCAGTGAGTTATACAGTTAGACCAGTGAGTTATAGTGTTAGACCAGTAAGTTATACAGTTAGACCAGTAAGTTATAGTGTTAGGCCAGTGAGTTATACAGTTAGACCAGTAAGTTATGGTGTTAGACCAGTGAGTTATAGTGTTAGACCAGTGAGTTATAGTGTTAGACCAGTGAGTTATACAGTTAGACCAGTGTGTTATACAGTTAGACCAGTGAGTTATAGTGTTAGACCAGTGAGTTATAGTGTTAGACCAGTGAGTTATACAGTTAGACCAGTGAGTTAAAGTGTCCGGGACGTTATGACATGTGTTTACTGTGTGTTACAAACTTTCTTGAACACTAGCCATTGACTGTTTATGACAGAAACAATCAGACTTCTTCTTTATTGGTGTTCTTTGTTGATTTGAACTACTTGTCCTTTTTTCTCGAAATGAAACACTTATGCCAAGACATGAGCAAGCTGTACCGAGTTCAGTATGTACTGACGCAGGCAGTCCTTCACACCCGGGTACACTATACTGACACTCGGTGATGTTACGGGATGCATACATGTATATGGTGATATAGGCTTACGTCCTAGCATGTTTTACTGTTGACTTCTGGCTGTCGTATACTTGTCATAGAAGTTCTGCGATATTTGATTTTTTGTCTTTTAATTTCGTATCAAATTCCGATAGCAATATATATTTTTAACCTTTCGCCATCTTTGTTCACAATACAATTAATAACCCTGGCTTTAAGACCTTGTCTGTCTTTCTCACTTATAGCCATTGAAAATGCAACATCTGCAGCGACAATAATAAGGGAACGTGGATCCTCAATTATACCAACAGAATCATACGTCGATAACTTTACAGTAACACAAAAAAGGACTATAAGTCACCCTTCGAGTGAATCCGTGAAAGAATCAGAATCAGAATCTTCTACATGGCCAGCAAGTGCTTCAGTAAAACCAAGAGAAAGTTTATCTGACACTGCAAGTGCTTCAGAAAAACAAACAGAAACTTTATCTAACACTGCAAGTGCTACAATAATACCAACAGCAACTTTATCTAACACGGCAAGTGATTCAGAAAAACAAACAGAAGCTTTATCTAACACTGCAAGTGCTTCAGAAAAACAAACAGAAGCTTTATCTAACACTGCAAGTGCTTCAGAAAAACAAACAGAAACTTTATCTAACACTGCAAGTGCTACAATAATACCAACAGCAACTTTATCTAACACGGCAAGTGATTCAGAAAAACAAACAGAAGCTTTATCTAACACTGCAAGTGCTTCAGAAAAACAAACAGAAACTTTATCTAACAGTGCAAGTGCTTCAGAAAAACAAACAGAAACTTTATCTAACACAGCAAGTGCTTCAGTAAAACCAACAGAAACTTTATCTAACACAGCAAGTGCTACAATAATACCAACAGCAACTTTATCTATCACAGCAAGTGTTTCAGTAAAACCAACAGAAACTTTATCCACCTATGCAAGTGAATCAATAAAACCAACAGGAAATATGTCTTCGCCTACAGGTACATCCACACTTGACGGTGGCATTACACCACAGGAGACATCTTTCCTTGACGTCACAGGGGCAGCATCTTCCACAGTTGGGGGATTTGTAGACATAACTTCTTCGAGTCTTAATAATTCATCATCATTAGAAACAACGGTAGGAGAACAGATCCCTGATACACTTTCCTTAGAGCCAACATCTTCCTCTGACAGCTTGCCACAAGACCAAAAACCGGCCACACCTTTCTCTGATAGCTTACCACTAGAACCGACACCAGCAACATCTTCCTCCGATAGCTTACCACTAGAACCAACACCAGCAACATCTTCCTCCGATAGCTTGCCACTAGAACCAACACCAGCAACATCTTCCTCCGATAGCTTACCACTAGAACCAACACCAGCAACATCTTCCTCCGATAGCTTGCCACTAGAACCAACACCAGCAACATCTTCCTCCGATAGCTTACCACTAGAACCAACACCAGCAACATCTTCCTCCGATAGCTTGCCACTAGAACCAACACCAGCAACATCTTCCTCCGATAGCTTACCACTAGAACCGACCCCAGCAACATCTTCCTCCGATAGCTTACCACTAGAACCAACACCAGCAACATCTTCCTCCCTCTAGAATAACACCAGCAACATCTTCATCGGATAGCTTGCAACTAGAACCAACACCAGCAACATCTTCCTCCGATAGCTTACCACTAGAACCAACACCAGCAACATCTTCCTCCGATAGCTTGCCACTAGAACCAACACCAGCAACATCTTCCTCCGATAGCTTGCCACTAGAACCAACACCAGCAACATCTTCCTCCGATAGCTTAACACCAGACACCAGCAACATCTTCCTCTGCCAGTCAGCTGGTATCTCCGACTGTCACACCACCACAGCCCGGTAGTTCCACAGTCCATCCGGAGCAGCAGACGTCGGGGAAGGGGTCCGGAGCAAAGGTGGCTGCTGGAGTCTGTGTCAGCATCATCTTGATCCTGGCTGTAGTGGCGGGCATCTTCTACTACAGACGGTAAGTACTGGAGTGAGCATGTCTGCAGGAGCGGATGTGTGTCTCGAGATTCAAGTCAGCAGATATATGGTGATTAGCCTGTGAAATTGCCGATTGTCAGCTCAACCTGTCTGTGGGGTCACACTCATCGTCTGGTCCGTTTTGAGATTGCCGTAGCTATAACTGAATTACTGCGGACTAAAGCCAGATATCATATTATCTTCACTCAAAGTGTGGTCGTCAAATTCTTCAATGATCTTTATGTCAGAATAAGTACGATTTCTTTTAGCCCTGCAGGGTATTCTGTAAGATATTAAAGTGATGTGCCATGTTTTACAGGTGCTACCATGCCAAACGTTGGACTCCCGGAGCAGTGTCATTTCGGCACATGCCATTTACAAACAGAGGTTACCAAGACGACGAGGTATGAGGGTCACATTGTTTATTCACTGAGAATATAAAACTGACTGGCACGACACCTGTCATCAACGATCTAGCAACAACATACCTGACTATACCCGTGTAGATACCCGGATAAAACTGGTCTTCAAAAAAACATGTTTGTCGTAAGCTGACTTGTTTGATGACTGTTATCGTATCCCAATTGTCTAGATCGATGCTCATGATGTCAATCACTGGACTGTTTGGCCCAGACTGTAAATACATGCCTGCAAAACAGAGTGAGGCTTTAAAGAAGCAAAGAACATCGCGTAGCAATGACAACCAAGCGTTCACAGAGACAGCTGTTTATATAGGAAGGGATATGCAACTCGCTGTTTCCCTGTATCATCAATGCTTATACGTTTATTTTGTTTCTAGGGAACCCTGATTCTTCCCAACATGAAATGAAAGGAATGTGGTCATTGTGTGTTGATAAAGACAGGAGGAAGAGCACAACATTCATCAACTTTAAACTCTGCTGTGATATATAAATACATACATGGAGTTGCCCGGATGACGTCACTATCCACACATTGACCTTGAGGTTGTCCCAGAATCCACCGCGAGAACATCCGGGTCACCCGGCGTGTTCTAGGGATGACCCATGCTGCAGGTTCACCATGGAGACAGTATAGGTCTATAGAGGGACACCAAAACAGACCCAGCCTCCATGTGGAAGAAGAACAATCTGTTATCTGTTACATAAATGCATATACCTGTACGTAGGTGGGTCATCTGTTACATATATACCTGTACGTTGGTGGGTCATCTGTGTCACGCATGCATTTGAAATCCTGACTTATATGCACTGATTGGTAAAGTATTGCTCTGTGACTGACGAGTAACATGGTATTGTCATATTTATATATATCTATATGGATGTATGATCTTAATGTGGCGGTGTGTACACTCCCTCTACCTGCGAGTGACGAGTAACATGGTATTGTCATATTTATATATATCTATATGGATGTATGATCTTAATGTGGCGGTGTGTACACTCCCTCTACCTGCGAGTGACGAGTAACATGGTATTGTCATATTTATATCTATATATCTATATGGATGTATGATCTTAATGTGGCGGTGTGTACACTCCCTCTACCTGCGAGTGACGAGTAACATGGTATTGTCATATTTATATATATCTATATGGATGTATGATCTTAATGTGGCGGTGTGTACACTCCCTCTACCTGCGAGTAACGTTCAAGTTGCTCAAGGGCACCACCGTTCAGGGAAAATGTTTAATGAACCCCAAGTAATACCAGTGTTGTGGGAATGTTTACATTATCTCCATATATTATAGATTTTAAGTGAGGTTGTTAAATGAACACCTAAGTGAAGACTGTTGACTGTATATATTTGATGATCTCCCGTGATCGGCCCGTGTGTGTTATACAGTGTATGTGTGAGTCTGGGGAGCGTACCCACTAACTGCTGACTAGTGGTCCAGACTCTACATGGTCAGCCATGTTCCGGACCCAACCTGGTGGTGGGCGGGGCAATGTCTATTGACATATTGGGGGGATATTGTTTTTATTTCCATTGAAATGTATACCTTTTACAAGAAATGAATAAAATGTTGGGATACAGTACCTTTGTTATTGCTTACATAAATTCCGAGACAAAATGCCTTTTAGTTTTTGTGAAGGTTTTAGCTCTCTTTGTCACATCTGAAAGTTGTCATTTATATAGTTGTCATGTAGCTGTCATGTCAAGCGATCGAGTCAATTCGTCCGTTGGCCACGCAAAGACCCCACATGGGTAGCCTGACTGACTCCGGTTCCCAGCATGGGTAGCCTCACTGACTCCGGTTCCCAGCATGGGTAGCCTCACTGACTCCGGTTCCCAACATGGGTAGCCTGACTGACTCCGGTTCCCAACATGGGTAGCCTGACTGACTCCGGTTCCCAGCATGGGTAGCCTGACTGACTCCGGTTCCCAGCATGGGTAGCCTGACTGACTCCGGTTCCCAACATGGGTAGCCTGACTGACTCCGGTTCCCAAGCATGGGTAGCCTGACTGACTCCGGTTCCCAACATGGGTAGCCTGACTGACTCCGGGTTCCCAACATGGGTAGCCTGACTGACTCCGGTTCCCAACATGGGTAGCCTGACTGACTCCGGTTCCCAACATGGGTAGCCTGACTGACTCCGGTTCCCAACATGGGTAGCCTGACTGACTCCGGTTCCCAACATGGGTAGCCTGACTGACTCTGGTTCCCAACATGGGTAGCCTGACTGACTCCGGTTCCCAACATGGGTAGCCTGACTGACTCCGGTTCCCAACATGGGTAGCCTGACTGACTCCGGTTCCAAACATGGGTAGCCTGACTGACTCCGGTTCCCAACATGGGTAGCCTGACTGACTCCGGTTCCCAACATGGGTAGCCTGACTGACTCCGGTTCCCAACATGGGTAGCCTGACTGACTCCGGTTCCCAACATGGGTAGCCTGACTGACTCCGGTTCCCAACATGGGTAGCCTGACTGACTCCGGTTCCCAACATGGGTAGCCTGACTGACTCCGGTTCCCAGCATGGGTAGCCTGACTGACTCCGGTTCCCCAGCATGGGTAGCCTGACTGACTCGGTTCCCAGCATGGGTAGCCTGACTGACTCCGGTTCCCAGCATGGGTAGCCTGACTGACTCCGGTTCCCAACATGGGTAGCCTGACTGACTCCGGTTCCCAACATGGGTAGCCTGACTGACTCCGGTTCCCAGCATGGGTAGCCTGACTGACTCCGGTTCCCAGCATGGGTAGCCTGACTGACTCCGGTTCCCAGCATGGGTAGCCTCACTGACTCCGGTTCCCAGCATGGGTAGCCTCACTGACTCCGGTTCCCAACATGGGTAGCCTGACTGACTCCGGTTCCCAACATGGGTAGCCTGACTGACTCCGGTTCCCAACATGGGTAGCCTGACTGACTCCGGTTCCCAACATGGGTAGCCTGACTGACTCCGGTTCCCAGCATGGGTAGCCTGACTGACTCCGGTTCCCAACATGGGTAGCCTCACTGACTCCGGTTCCCAGCATGGGTAGCCTGACTGACTCCGGTTCCCAGCATGGGTAGCCTGACTGACTGGACTGTTCCCAGCATGGGTAGCCTGACTGACTCCGGTTCCCAACATGGGTAGCCTGACTGACTCCGGTTCCCAGCATGGGTAGCCTGACTGACTCCGGTTCCCAACATGGGTAGCCTGACTGACTCCGGTTCCCAGCATGGGTAGCCTGACTGACTCCGGTTCCCAACATGGGTAGCCTGACTGACTCCGGTTCCCAGCATGGGTAGCCTCACTGACTCTGGTTCCCAGCATGGGTAGCCTGACTGACTCCGGTTCCCAACATGGGTAGCCTGACTGACTCCGGTTCCCAACATGGGTAGCCTGACTGACTCCGGTTCCCAAACATGGGTAGCCTGACTGACTCGGTTCCCAACATGGTTGGCCTGACTGACTCCGGTTCCAAGCATGGGTAGCCTCACTGACTCCGGTTCCCAACATGGGTAGCCTGACTGACTCCGTTTCCCAACATGGGTAGCCTGACTGACTCCGGTTCCCAACATGGGTAGCCTGACTGACTCCGGTTCCCAACATGGGTAGCCTGACTGACTCCGGTTCCCAACATGGGTAGCCTGACTGACTCCGGTTCCCAACATGGGTAGCCTGACTGACTCCGGTTCCCAACATGGGTAGCCTGACTGACTCCGGTTCCCAACATGGGTAGCCTGACTGACTCCGGTTCCCAGCATGGGTAGCCTGACTGACTCCGGTTCCCCAAGCATGGGCATGGGTAGCCTGACTGACTCCGGTTCCCAACATGGGTAGCCTGACTGACTCCGGTTCCCAACATGGGTAGCCTGACTGACTCCGGTTCCCAACATGGGTAGCCTGACTGACTCCGGTTCCCAGCATGGGTAGCCTGACTGACTCTCGGTTCCCAACATGGGTAGCCTGACTGACTCCGGTTCCCAGCATGGGTAGCCTCACTGACTCCGGTTCCCAGCATGGGTAGCCTCACTGACTCCGGTTCCCAACATGGGTAGCCTGACTGACTCCGGTTCCCAACATGGGTAGCCTGACTGACTCCGGTTTCCCAACATGGGTAGCCCTGGGACTGACTCCCGGTTCCTGGGCATGGGTAGCCTGACTGACTCCGGTTCCCAGCATGGGTAGCCTGACTGACTCCGGTTCCCAACATGGGTAGCCTGACTGACCCTGCTCCGGTTCCAACATGGGTAGCCTCACTGACTCCGGTTCCCAACATGGGTAGCCTGACTGACTCCGGGTTCCCAGCATCTCCCAGCCTCGGAGCCTGGTTCCCCTGGGTACTGACTGACCGGTTCCCAGCATGGGTAGCCTGACTGACTCCGGTTCCCCAACATGGGTAGCCTGACTGACTCCGGTTCCCAACATGGGTAGCCTGACTGACTGTTCCCTGGGTAGCCTGACTGACTCTCCCAACGCCGTTGGCCGTGACAACATGGGTAGCCTGACTGACTCCGGTTCCCAACATGGGTAGCCTGACTGACTCCGGTTCCCAACATGGGTAGCCTGACTGACTCCGGTTCCCAACATGGGTAGCCTGACTGACTCCGGTTCCCAACATGGGTAGCCTGACTGACTCCGGTTCCCAACATGGGTAGCCTGACTGACTCCGGTTCCCAACATGGGTAGCCTGACTGACTCCGGTTCCCAGCATGGGTAGCCTGACTGACTCCGGTTCCCAGCATGGGTAGCCTGACTGACTCCGGTTCCCCAGCATGGGTAGCCTGACTGACTCCGGTTCCCAGCATGGGTAGCCTGACTGACTCCGGTTCCCAACCCACTGACATGGTTCCCAACATGGGTAGCCTGACTGACTCCGGTTCCCAAGCATGGGTAGCCTGACTGACTCCGGTTCCCAACATGGGTAGCCTGACTGACTCCGGTTCCCAACATGGGTAGCCTGACTGACTCCGGTTCCCAACATGGGTAGCCTGACCTGACTGAGCCTGACCTGGGTTCCCAACATGGGTAGCCTGACTGACTCCGGTTCCCAGCATGGGTAGCCTGACTGACTCTGGTTCCCAACATGGGTAGCCTGACTGACTCCGGTTCCCAGCATGGGTAGCCAGCCCTGACTGACTCCGGTTCCCAGCATGGGTAGCCTGACTGACTCCGGTTCCCAACATGGGTAGCCTGACTGACTCCGGTTCCCAACATGGGTAGCCTGACTGACTCCGGTTCCCAGCATGGGTAGCCTGACTGACTCCGGTTCCCAACATGGGTAGCCTGACTGACTCCGGTTCCCAACATGGGTAGCCTGACTGACTCCGGTTCCCAACATGGGTAGCCTGACTGACTCCGGTTCCCAACATGGGTAGCCTGGACTGACTCCGGTTCCCAACATGGGTAGCCTGACTGACTGACTCCGGTTCCCAGCATGGGTAGCCTGACTGACTCCGGTTCCCAGCATGGGTAGCCTGACTGACTCCGGTTCCCAGCATGGGTAGCCTGACTGACTCCGGTTCCCAACATGGGTAGCCTGACTGACTCCGGTTCCCAGCATGGGTAGCCTGACTGACTCCGGTTCCCAACATGGGTAGCCTGACTGACTCCGGTTCCCAGCATGGGTAGCCTGACTGACTCCGGTTCCCAGCATGGGTAGCCTGACTGACTCCGGTTCCCAACATGGGTAGCCTGACTGACTCCGGTTCCCAACATGGGTAGCCTGACTGACTCCGGTTCCCAACATGGGTAGCCTGACTGACTCCGGTTCCCAACATGGGTAGCCTGACTGACTCGGTTCCCAACATGGGTAGCCTGACTGACTCCGGTTCCCCAACATGGGTAGCCTGACTGACTCCGGTTCCCAACATGGGTAGCCTGACTGACTCCGGTTCCCAACATGGGTAGCCTCACTGACTCCAGTTCCCAACATGGGTAGCCTGACTGACTCCGGTTCCCAACATGGGTAGCCTGACTGACTCCGGTTCCCAACATGGGTAGCCTGACTGACTCCAGTTCCCAGCATGGGTAGCCTGACTGACTCCGGTTCCCAGCATGGGTAGCCTCACTGACTCCGGTTCCCAGCATGGGTAGCCTGACTGACTCCGGTTCCCAGCATGGGTAGCCTGACTGACTCCGGTTCCCAACATGGGTAGCCTGACTGACTCCGGTTCCCAACATGGGTAGCCTGACTGACTCCGGTTCCCAACATGGGTAGCCTGACTGACTCGGTTCCCAGCATGGGTAGCCTGACTGACTCCGGTTCCCAGCATGGGTAGCCTCACTGACTCCGGTTCCCAGCATGGGTAGCCTCACTGACTCCTGTTCCCAGCATGGGTAGCCTGGACTGACTCGGTTCCCAACATGGGTAGCCTCACTGACTCGGTTCCCAACATGGGTAGCCTGACTGACTCCGGTTCCCAACATGGGTAGCCTGACTGACTCCGGTTCCCAGCATGGGTAGCCTGACTGACTCGGGTTCCCAACATGGGTAGCCTGACTGACTCCTGGGTTCCCAGCATGGGTAGCCTGACTGACTCCGGTTCCCAACATGGGTAGCCTGCCACTGACTCCGGTTCCCAACATGGGTAGCCTGACTGAC